AAATAAGCTACCGAAGGTATTAACCCCAGACGTTTTCATGCGCAAGCTCTTTTTAATTTTACCTTAAGTTTTTTAATGTTTATTTTTATTGTGAGGTACAACTTGACAAGGCACATAAAATATTCAGTGAAACAGTGGTCATAATGCAAACCATCATGTAACTAGCGTTCTGTTGAGAATAGATGGTGTGAAATCCCCCTCTGCTCAAAGTCGCCTTAACGGGACCCCACTGCACTGACCTTTATAACTGAAAGTGCTTGGCTTTTCTTTTTCATTTTTTGCCCTCTCTGTGTGCCCCCTCTGCGCTGTCATAGAATTTTGTCTATTTTTGTATGTTGTATAAACAGAATCCTGTTATACATACCAGGAAGGAGAAAAGGGTTCTTGCAGACATTGCCACTACTGGAATAAAATAAAGTGTAAGACTGCTAAGGGGAAAATTATCAAATTTTATTTGGAGATGTTAAAGAAGGTCTAATACGTGGAGAAATGGATTAGAAGAGTCAATATTGTAGAGATATTGAAGGAAAAGCTTTCAACATTTCACCATTAAGTGAAAATGAGGACTTTTCATCCCAAGAGTTTTTATCAGGAATGCAAAGAGGTTTGTTTTTTTTTTTTTTTTACCAGGAATGGTGTTGAGTTTGATAACTTTCTGCAGCTAATGAGATGATCTTTGAATATTCTTCATTTATTTTCTTAATGCAGAGAATTATATTAATTCATTTCCCTATATTATACCAACTTAGGATTTCTGGAATAAACTCGGCTTTTCTATATATGCTGACTTTATTAATATTTTCTTTAGGATGTTTCCATTTATGCTCATGACTGAGAGTCACTTGTACTTTTTGTTTCTCATAATATCCTGTTGAGCTTTTTTATTATAAGAGTATGCTGGCTTGCTAAAAAGATTTGGGAAACATATCCTTTCTGTTCTGCTCTCTGGAAGACTTTGTGTGTGATGGGAATTTTTTATTCTTTGAACTGTCTCTCATGAATTTAATATTGTAGTGAGTGAGTTTGACAGTGAAAAAGGTAAATAAGTAAAATACATAGTAAGGTAAGTAGTGGTAAGTGCTGCAGGGGAAAAATAAGCCGGTAAAGGAGTTGTGATGTTTGGGTAAATGTTGAAATTGTAGGTCGGTGGCCAGAGAGCTGGCTAAGATGACTACCTGTGAAGATTTGGCAGAAGTGCATCTTGGGCAAACAGGTGCAAAGGCTCTAAGGCAGGAAGACAGCAGGGAGGTCATCGTGGCTGGAGAGAGAGAACAAGGCAGAGTGTAGATGAGGGGAGAAGTTGGCGTGAGGGCTAGAACCAAATTGTTGAGGACTCTCAGCTCATAGTAAGAACTTGGGGTTTGCTTCTGAGATGGGAGACCATTGGCAGATTTTCAAGCAATGACATTGTCTGGTCAATCTGTTAACAGTATCTTTCTGCTGATTTTTGGGAAACAGACTTCTGGGAGAATGACAGTAGAAGCAGGGTCCACTAGTTATGAAACTGTTAGGCTGATCCTGACAAGAATGATGGTGGCTTGGATGGCAGCTCTAGAGCTGGCGAAAGTGGCCAAAGTCTCGATAAATTTGGTTTACGTGATGATAAGAATTGCTGACAGAAACACAGTAGAGTGTGAAAGAAAAACAGAATTCAAGAATGGCTCCAAGGTTTTTTGCCCTGAGCAGCCAGAAGAATGTAGTCGTCTGTAACTGGGATCAGGGAAACATTAAGAAGGGCTCTTTTATAAGGGAGCATTGGGATCTTGGGTTGGGATATACTTTAGTTGAGATGGCTGGTAGGCATCCAAGTACATCTGTAAAATAGGCAGTTCTAAATATTGGTCTGAAAGAGCGAGAGGCCCAGTCTAGAGATAAAATTTCGGAGTCAGTTCATGGCTTGGAAGAAAATAACCAAAGGAGAAAACACAAATGTTAGAAGAACTTCAAAGGACTGAACCATGAAATATAGAAATCAGGAGATTGGGGGAATCTGACCAAAGACAGAAAGGGGAGCTGGAAATGTCAAAGAAAAACCAGACAAGTGTGGTATCCTGGAAGCCAAGAGAAGGGGAGAGTTACCAGCAGTGTTATATCTTCCTGTTAGTTAAAGTAAGTTAGGCTTGAACACTGACCACTCTGTTTAGCAACATGAGGGTTATTTCATCTTTAACTTCACACAGAACCATACAAATCCTGAGAAAACCCAAGGAAAGTGTGGAGAACTATGGCTTGGTCTTGCCTTTTACCAGACAACAGAACATACTATGTGTATTATAATTAAGTCAATGATGAATTGATACAGCAACGGACAAAGAGACCACAGTTGAAAACCCAGAAGGATATCTGAGGTGAATATTTATTATATGACAAACAGTTCTCTTCAGAAGAAGGATGGATTATTTAGTAAATGGGGCTGCCCCAACAGGATATCCATTTGGGGAAAAAAATGAGTCCCAAAAGTATTAAAGACTTTAACATTAGAAATAAAGCAATAGCCGTCTTCCAATTAAAAAAAAAAAAAAAAAAAAGACCACATACAATGTCCGGGTAAGGTATTGTACCACGACCTCATACCCTAAAAATAAAAAGGAAATTAACAAGAAAATGACAAACATGTCCATAGAAAAATGAGTATGAGCTGTCTGCAAATAAGTACAACTGCTTGAGCAAATTAATTGGCCAACAGACTTAAGAAAAATGCTTATGTTTATTAGTAGTCAGGGAAATAAATCAATGAGTATTGATCTTTGGCAGAAAATTAAAGAAAGAAAATACTGTTGCTCACAGAGTTGTGAGGGAAAGAGGATTCTCAAACCTTGTAGATCTGCTTTTCCCTGTAACATTGCTAATGTGGTGGTACAGATTCTACTGAGGGAGGAATTCGTTGTAATGATAAAGAAGGACTGCATTCAGAGGTGGGGCTCGGTTTTGTAGGCCTGGAACAGCCCTGTCCAGTAGAACTTCCTTCAATGGGGAAAATGTTCTGATTCATGTGCTGTCTGATACCAGCTGCTGGTCACATGTGGCGCACTTTGATTTTCTTCAGTTTTTGATTCACATGCAGAGACTACCATGTTAGGACAGGAAAACTCAGCATTGACAGGCTATATACCCCTATTAAAATGTAATTTGAGATAAATATGTTATATATTATATATTATATATTATATATAACCATACACACACACACACACACACACACACACACACACCCCAGATATAACCAAGATACCTTATAACCATAATCTATGCTTATGTCATCTATGTAAATAGTAAAATTACAGTCAGGGGGTTATATTTGCTAGAGTAAATGGGTATTAAAATGTTGTTTGATGAACAAAATGATGAACGTTAGGAAACTGGTCCCAGAGGATACTCAGTGAGGAAAGCATTTATCCAAAGAAGACACAGAAGCTGAGCATTCGGGCTTCTCAGCCAGGAGTCCAGACGCCCTCACTGCTCTCCCTTCAGCTTGTGTTTTGTTTTGCGTATTCCTTGCCATCCATCATCCATCACGCTCCCTGTGCTAGACGCCTGTCCCCTGCTCTCTAGGTTGGATCCCTGGCACTTTCTCTTTTGTGATTCTCATCCCTGGACTTTGGTTTATTCCCCTGTAAAAGGGATCAAATGTCTATCTACAAGGTCCTTTCCTCTTTTAACGTTCTAGAAACTTTTAAAATTTTTTTTACTTATTTGAGAGAGAGCATGAGTGGGGGCAGGGGGAGAGGGAGAAGCAGACTCCCTGCTGAGCAGGGAGCCACATTCGAGGCTGGATTCCAGAACCCCAGGACCTGAGCCAAAGGCAAACACTTAAACCAATGAGCCACTGGGGCACCTCAACATTCTAGGAACTTTTAAGGAGATGAGGTTCATTTTCATAGACTACATTTCAGGAGTGTTGCAATGACCAACATGAGGAAGGGCTCTGGGGCCAGCTGTCTCACCCTGCAACGGAGGAATTTCTCTCAACAGCATCAGTCAGTGGGTGGTCTTCTGAGGTCTCGGAGTTTTGGTCTGCCCTAACCTTTGGTTACTAGCTCTGAGATACTTTCCACTGAGAAAGGAACATTCCATTTTGTATTTTTCCATTAATCCTATCAACAACCAAATTATCTTAAAGTTAGATACTTTAAAAAACTAATTTGCAGACTCATGCCATAACTGATGAAGGCTTTTCTTTCCATGCTTAGTTCTATCATGTTTTGTGTAAAAGAGCAGGAAACCGCCATTATTTAGGAAGAGAATAAAAGCTTACCATTTTTTAGTGTTGTCATCATTTACCAGTCTTGACTTCTATTGGAAAATCCACCTATTTGAACGTTTTAGTAGGTAAACAGTTGGCTACATAGAAAACTAGAAAGCTGTGAAAAATAATAAAAGTCCTGTTGTTTATTTATGCTTGGGAAAATACATTCAAAGTAGAATGCCTGGTTTCAGTCTTGACAGATCTTTAAAATTTGAGATTACTGAAAAGAAGAGGGATAACAAATTAGTGAATATCAACCACACCCTGTACATTTCCCCCCAGAAAGTACTAAGCATAAAGTTTAAATACAAAGTCAATTTAGTGATTTATGAGAGAAGAATGTACCAAACTGGAACAGTCAAAATTTTTCTTTGCCTCATGATTTTTTATTTTGGCGTTTGATATGTTCTTTTAATGGATTTGTTTGGGAAGGAGTTTTAGGAATGGGGAGTAAATAGAAGAGAATACATAAAAAGGCGTATAACCTGTAACAAAAATAACATTTTTGGTGGGACTTGAAGCTCGTGCAATACGTAATTTTGGGAAGTCTTGGGTTTCCAGGTTTATTATGTGTGTGAGAGCAAAGCTGTACCTTACCATTTTCATTTCCAAAAACCAAATATGTCTTACACTCACACATCTAAACTAATAGACGTTTGTCTCACTGAAATATTACAAAGAGCAAAGCATTTGGTTGTTGATGTATATATTTTCCTGAAGTTTTACATGTTTATTTGTTTGTTTGTTTGAATAGAGCCCCGTGAAGATAAATCAGATTAGCCTGGATGAGAGTGGAGAGCACATGGGCGTGTGTTCGGAGGATGGCAAGGTATGGCAATGACATGGGCCCGTGGAAAACACGGTCTGGTTCTGAGGCCTGGGATGGTCTCCAACTCCAGGGGCTTGGAAACGCACCCGGCTTACTGTATACCTGCTTTAGGAGAACCTTGATTATTCTTTTTGGGTATTGGACTCGCTTCCGATTGCTCATAATTAAAGTAAAATATATGTCGCACAAATGTGCCTTAGGAAAAGTAATTACAAGAATGTCAATAAAGTAACTAGTATTAAGCTGATTAACAGCTGTGGCAGGGGGACGTGTCACCTTAATCATTACTGCTGTGCCACTTATACTTCAGTGACTAGTCTGCAGTCCCTGCAAGACCAGTAGTTTAATGCCTTTCTGCCATAAATCCACAAAATTGGATTTTGTGGGCATGATTTCTGTGGGCCGGTGGTTTTCATTTTCACACAAGTTATGAATGTTTCTCTTGAATTATAGAATCTTTTGATAAGCAATCATAGTTTATCAGAAGAATAAAGTGTCTTACAATGGCCACATTAAATAAATGTAAAATCAATATATGTACAGTTTTCTAAAAACCTGGCACCCACTTCCTCAACCGAGGACATACATCACTTGCACGGGTGTATAACTAACAATTATCAGTGCTTCTTGCTGATGTTGAGCTGCGACATTCAGTGGTTGTGGTGATTGATTTTCCACTTATAAGAATGTCTTTTTTGTTTTTCAGTCGATGGAAGTCTTTTCTACTGTTGGTTTGCAATGATAAAATTCTAATACACAGTGTATTTAAGCTACTTTTCTAAAATAACAGTCTGAGAAAAGTGCATTAAGAATCATTACACAATCTTACATACTCCTGACTGAATAGAGCACATTTCCTAATCTGATTTTGTATTTTTACATGATCTAAATTCAATGGGTCATTAAGATGAGTAAATGAAAAACAGTGTGCTCCGTGTAAAAGATTTATACCCATTTGATCTATTAGCAAAAGAAAAATGAAGTCCTCTTGACACACAAGAATGCATTTTATATATCTAAGCTTAATGTTGCCCAAAGGGTCCTTTGAAATGGTGGTTGGAACCCTGTGCTTTCCAAAGATCACTGTCAAATTTTACAGTACTTTCTAAAATCCTGAGGTGGACCAGACTGTCAGGGAGGTGAGGGAGGAGCCTGGTACATATGGAAATTGAGAATTATCTTTTAGTATTTATGAATTTGTAAAGGAAGGTCATTTTTATTTATTTATTTTTGTCCTTAAAGGTAAGGAATTTGTTCTGGGCTGACAGCCAATTTAGTTGAACTAAATTGTAGGAAGAGAATATTCATTTTTCAAATTGGAAAATAATTTTTACTGAAATAACTTCATCAGTGAATTTTCAGATCTTTAAATGTTGAATAATTATTATTTGATGTGGCAAAGTGGGATATTTTAATTCTGTCTAGTGTATAATGACCCTCAGATATCACCTGGTATACTTCTTGGCAAATACCTGTTTTCCAATTTAGGCAGATTTTTAACTGCCGTATTTTGGTGTAGACCTGTGATACTTTTTGTTTTTGTTTTTTTTTAGATTTTATTTATTCGATAGAGGAAGACACGGGAGAGAGGGAACACAAGCAGGGGGAGCAGGAGAGGGAGAAGCAGTCTTCCCAAATAGCGGGGGACGGGGGTGGGGGTGGTAATCCCGTAACCCTGGGATCATGACTTGAGCAGAAGGCAGATGCTTAACGACTGAGCCACCCAGGCACCCCTTGTGATACATTTTTTAAAACAGTTTTCACATATGTTTTATTAGCATTGATAGAACTGAAAATAAATATTTTGGTGCACATAATTTATGTAAGCTAGCAGTATTGGGAAAATTGAGTAGCTAGTATAGAATGATCTGGCAAAGCGGTCAGTAATGATAAAAACACAAAGATTATTACAAAGATAAACACAAAGAATATTACAAAGATATTTAGATCTAATGCATGTTTAAATGGCTGTTGTGATTTTTCTTTCTTTAGTGTATTAAGACCCCTAGATAATATACATCACCTTCATACATAAGCTAGAATCAATTTAGTGTAGAGTTCAGCGTGGAGATATTTTCTTTTAAAATTTTGGAGATGTTGCTTCCTTTTGTCTGACCTTTATTTTTGTAAACATGTCTGAGGCTAGCATACTTTTGTTCTTTCACAAAACCTTTTAAAAAAAAAATTTTTTTTTTTGGTCCTACCTTGGAGCTTAGACTAATAATAATAACAACAATAAAACAACAATATACGGCCCTTGTAGTTCAGTTTGCTAAGTTATGTTTTGTTCAGGTCTATTTTCATTAATTTTGTCTGGAACACAGTAAGTCCTTTTGATCCATATACTGAAGTATTGTTTTCATTTCAGGAAAGTTTACTTCAGTTCTGATTTTGATTATTGCTTCAATTCCATTTATTTTCATTTCTTCAAAGAAACCCAATAATACTTAGGCTGGAGGCAGTTCTGGGGCAGAGGCTAAGCACTGGCTCTGTATTCCGCCTGCCTGGGCGGGATTTCCGCTGCTTCCTCCACTGGGCCCTGGGCATGCTAGGGGCCGCCTGGGAACGTTGCCAGGTGCTGGGTGTATGGTGAGCGCTCTGGGTTTATGTCACCTGTTTTTACTGCTAACCATTCACTTCTTAACCCATCGCAAACTGGCGTTTCCCCCTCCTGCATTATTGTAGCTAAACTTTTCAAGGAAAGAGGGTGAATGGATAAGCACCATTAACCCTTCTCCTTTCAAAAGTATGTATATTGTTAGGAAAACCGGTCATACTGCGTGTGTGATGCACACATGGGCACACACACATGTGTGTGCTTTTCTTTCTCATTTTCTCCTCTTCCTTTCTCTGTAGTTAGGGAGTCTCTTGTTTGTTCCCTTTGCTGATTTGCTTTTATCCCAGTCTCCATGTTGCCTCATGGAATAGCATTTTATTCCATCTTGGATGTTTAATTTTCCTGAAGTCTTTCTCTTGCTCCTGGCTCTATTTTCATATCAGCCAGATATATATTTAATTTAAAAAATTTACAACTTCTTGTATTTCTTTCTTTTTTTTTTTTTTAAGATTTTATTTATTTATTTGATGGAGGGGGAGCGAGAGAGCACAAGCAGGGGGAGCTGCAGGCAGGGAGAGGGAGAAGCAGGCTTCCCACCAAGCAGGGAGCCCGATGTGGGGCTCCATCCTGGGACCCTGGCATCATGACCTGAGCCGAAGGCAGATGCTCAACCGACTGGGGCAGCCAGTGTCCCTTTTGTGTGTTAGAGTGCCACGTACTATAGTCTAAAGGTTAGGAATGGAATCATGCTGCCACATTTTAGCTGTGTGATGTCAGGTACATTATTCCTATCTCTCTGTGCCTCAGTCTGTTTCCTCCTCTATAAATTGGGGATAATGATGGTACCTGCCTCATTGATTATTAAAAATCAATGAGTTAATATTTATAAATTGTTTGGAGTAGTAGAGGGACAGAAGAAACATGTAGTAATCGCTAGCGATCATCAGGTCATCTTTCGGCTCCAGACTCACAGACGTCTTTTCTTAGTGAAGTCACTGAACAGTTTTCCAGTTTTCTTTTTAAAAGCATGCTTTTTTCCCCTCTGAGTCATCAGAATTGTTTTCTGCAATATCGTTTTTACAGACCTGTGTGTGGTTTTTTTTTTTTGCTTCTTTATTCGCTCTAGAACAAGAAGAGCTCTTTCTGAATCCGGGTTAGCAAACAGAGTCTGTGTCTGATTGCTCTTGGCCCTGCCTGTTAGCATTTTGGGTGTTGTGGAATCACCTTCTTCTCTCCACGCAAGGGCCCCGGGAAATGAGCTTGATACCCTCTGACCAGAGCTCATTGGTTAAGACAGCTCCCCCAGTGACATGGGAGCCTCTGCTGCTGCTCCTGGATCTCTGACACTCTTCATGGGTGGAGAAAAGGAAATCCAATCTCCTCTGGGAGGGTCTCTTCAGCTCCTACCCCAGATGGAAGGCAGCTTCCATGTTCATTCCTGTTCCTACTCGCCCTGTTTCTGTTGAAACTGGGGTTTGAGAGAAAGGCCTTTTCAAGGGAAGTACAGCCGGGGAGGTTGTCTGAGCCTCTGGCCACCTCGCTCATGGTTCCTTTCCATCAGATGGGCTACATTGCCCGGTTTTCTGGTTGGCAAATACATAGAACTCCATGCTCACTTGGTGAAGATCTACACCTTCCTTACAGTTCCATGAGGGCAGGTTTTCTTTACTTTAAGCAGTAAAACATATCACATGCCTTCCGTGGTCCTCACATGGCCCTACGGGTCTGGCGTTAATGAGAAATTTGCCAGGACTGCCATAGATTGGCCGTAAGGGCTCCTGCTCTGAATTTTCTCTTTTTCTTCACTAGGTATTTTTGTGACTAGTTGGGGGAGGTTGTTAGAGGATACCATTTTCAAAAAGACCCCCTCTGTTTTAGCCTTTAATTACAGGTTCTTACCTGGGATGAGATCTTCCTTAAAGCCAGAACTCTCTAGGCAGACATTCAGCAGGTTCCTTTCACAGACGAGTATGATATTCACTGACAAAAATGGCAAAATAAATAAAGAGGGAGGGAGAAGAAATAAATAAAAACTGTTTTGGATTTTATTAGCTATGGTGTTATAACTTACGACCAGCTCGTTTGGCCTGTCACATTAGTGAAATGAACCAAAACAGTGCAGATTTTACAAATCACCCTGGTTGTACCGATCAAGTTTATGAGAGCTGTCTTGTGGAAGTTCTAGTGTTTTCCATACTGAAGGAGGAAACAGGAATATTTGAAGAAGAGGTTATTCAGTCAAACGTAGCAGTAGGGTATGAACCCAGAACCAAGAACCTCGTCTGTTCACTTTTCTTTTGATTCCCCCTTATTCTACTATTACATCGCCAATATGGGTTTTGTTTTTTTTTTTTTAATGTGGGTTCATAATTTTTAAAGGGGCACTTATCCCTGGTAATTTGTAATTTAATTTCACCATTCAAATCACGGTCCTAATACTTATCTTCTATTTACTGATGCCTCAGTCTTTTTCAGAGGGCTTATACCTCATTTATTTACATCTCATATACTTTTCCCCACCATAAAAATCACATAGCTTTTGTTTTTAAAATCACCTTTACCTTCTTGTAGCCAGAAGGAATCTTATCCTTTGGAATGAATGGTCTGCTTCATTTAGTGTCAGCTTTGATCACAGAGTTGCCTAATACAGAGTCTGACATTCACCTTCCCTTTATTTTGGTAAATATTTGAGGTTTTTGATAAAACATTCAAAAATCCTCTATCATTCCCTCATTCCATCATTCCCTTTCCGGTTCCACTTTTCCTACACTTTCTGTAAAAAGATATCTTATTTCCATATTTTAAACTGTCTCATATAATGTTAGTGTGTAAGAGAATAGGGGCTTGGAAAACTCTTCTTGCTTCTTACAACCTTGGCCAAGTCCTTTATTTTTCTGTAGGATCACCTGGTTAGTAGGCATAATGGTGCTTGCTATCATACCTACCAGTGTTGCTATAAGGACTGCATGAGGCAGGGCAGGATTTTCAGTGCTAGCTACGTATAATTAAATATTTAAATATTTATAATTAAATTAAGTAAGTTTTAAATAAATTTAATAAATAACTTAAATACATTTTATTTTTTTAAGATTTTATTTATTTATTCGAGAGAGAGAGATCATAAGTAGGCAGAGAGGTAGGGTGGGGGAGAAGCAGACTCCCTGCTGTGCAGAGAGCCCAATGCCGGGCTCAATCCCAGGACCCTGAGATCGTGACCTGAGCCGAAGGCAGAGGCTTAACCCACTAAGCCACCCAGGCACCCCAATTTAAATAAATTTTAAATGAATTAAAATACCATTCCATCCCACCAGGACTAGGGTCTGGCCATTAGTATCCAGGGATCACATCAAGAATACCTTCAACAGACCTCCTTGGGGAAAATCATATACCCTCTTTGTTACAGTGTACCATGTGCTGTTGTTGGAACCCAGAAAACATACTTGGCGCAGGATGTAAAAACAGTAGTCACAAAATGGTTGCCCTTACAATTTTATCTCTTCATGAATGAATTTGTCTCCAAAAATTGTATCACAAGTAAATTTTCTTCTTCGAACTCGCAAAAAATGAACCACTCACAACTTACTAAGATGAGAACAAGAAGAAATCAAAAGTCTGACTAGTTTTATAACTACTTAAAAATTTGAATTTGTAATTAAAACTTTCTCACATAGACCCCACCCTGGATGGCTTCACTAGTGAATTCTTACAAAATTAAGGAAGAAGTAATACCCCTCTTCTAGAGACTAGAAGAGTCTCCCAAGTGCTGGGAAGTAGTTCTAGGTGCCCCTAATAGCTCCAAGTATCTGAGAGCTCCTGGAATCTTAAGCTCTGCTGATGAGAGTGTAAATTGATCAAAACCCCTTTCCAAAATGCTTTGGCTGTTTATTAAATGTGAACAGATGCATAGCCTATGACAACAGTTCCAGTCCTACTTAGGTACTCTTCACAAATGTGTATCTTAGTGCCCCAAAAGATTTGTAAAGAGTGTACATAGCATTATTTATAATAGCCCCAATTTGGAAACAACCCAAATGTTCAACAAAAGGCAGATACATGAATTATGGTATATTCATACACTGAAATACTATACAACGACAGAGAACCAGCTACTGCTGTATATAAGAGTTTGGGTAAATCTTGTAAGGAAGATGGTGAGTGAAAGAAACCAGTGAAGTAATTCATGTTCCTGTGTATATAAAATTCAGACACCAGCACAGTTTATCTGTGATGATGGACTTTAGAGTAGTGGCTCATTTGTTAGGTGGACGAAGAATACGAGGAAACACAGAGGTGCTTCTTGGGTTCTAGTTCTTGATCTGGATGGTGTCTGCAGGGATGTGGTTAGGTCATGAAAGTTTATCAAGCTGTAAATTTATGATTCGTACCCTCTGCAATAATGTATATTATTCCGTTTTTAAGTAAACCACTCAGATTTGGTATGGTTAAAGTAGTCTGGAACAACTTTAAGGTTGTTAGATGGTAAGTAGAAACTTAAATCTTAATTTATACACTCGCAGTAGATTCAATGTAAGATTATAAATGAAGTGCAGTTCACCTAATCTCTTGCCACATTTATCTGCATGGTTGATTATATATATATGACTCAAAAAAGAAGGACCTTTTTCCTTCAAGGGAAGGAAAAAATAATTCCTTTAGGGGAGACTATGGGAAGTTCATAAAAGAATATTAATAACCTATTCGTATCTAGTTCGTTTTTAAAAGCTGTCATCCATTTAATAAAACAAATTTGTGGTGAGTAAAGGGAACTCTATCCATGAGATGCTAATAAAACCTTAATTGCAGTGGAGTACTCTCACCCTGATAGAATTGTTTTCATTGGATAGTTAATAGAGATCACAGGGGCCTTAGATTATTACATATTCTGCTTTTTTTTAATCAATAGTTTGTATTCTTTCTGAATCAGCAGCCTTCTTTGTTGCTGTCAGGGTGAACTGACAGGATCCATTTTACTTTTCAGGTGCAGGTGTTTGGACTGTATTCTGGAGAAGAATTTCATGAGACTTTTGACTGTCCCATTAAAGTAAGTATACAGTAAGTTTTAATTTTTCTAAGGGCTTTCTCAGTGGAGGCAGTAAGGATTACAGCGCTTTGAGCCCTACCAGTGTTGCATTAATTTGGTCAGTAAGCATCTCTTCAACACTTAAGGAAGCACTGGATACCATTTGATGGCATAAAAGAGCACAGGATGTTTGTTATACGACTGTGCTGTCAGTCTGTCCCCAGGAATCTTTTCTTGTAGTGAGTGAGAGGATATGTACACACAGTCTGCGATTAAAGACTCAAAGAGGTACAAACAATATTAAGGAGTCCAAAGCCGAGAGGAGTTACTTTAGTTGTCTGTATTAGTGATGGCTTCACAGCGGGAGTGATATTTGGGTGGGCTTTAATAAATGGACAGGGCAGACAGAGAAACTGGCTTTCCATGTGGAAGAACAATGTAATGTAAACGGAGAGGCCAGAAAGTTCAAACTGTGTTCAGGAAGTGGCAAAAAAAGCCTAGTTTAGATGGCACATAAAACACTGACTTGGCAGGAGAGCTGTTCGGGCAGATTGGGGCTGCTTTTGTTCTCAGGCTAAGAAATTTAGACTCCATGTGGTAGATAAGGAGAAATTATTGAATGTTTAAGAGCAGAGAAGTGACATAAACTGAGCTACGCTTAAGGAAAATGAATATGGCGACTATATACAGTATAGATTGGAGGGCTGATAGCTGTACGGCAGGAAGAGCGGTCTTAGATAACAGTTATGGTCAGTAAAGTGACGATTAGAGTTGTTGAAGGGAGAGGTCATCCATTGTTTTCACTTGTTTATTCAAACCCTTATTGATCAACAGGTAAAGGAGAGATAGGATCTGATATGTGTTTTCCAAAGGCATCTCCAGCGTGGAGGGTGGTTTAAGCAGGAGAGGGATTGCAGGCCAAAGGCAATTTAGGAGGCTAGTGATGTCCTCGAGGCAGGGCATCACAGGACCTCAGTAACAAGAGCATCGGGAGTATTCATGGGGAAGTCGAAGACGGGAATGTAGAAAGCCGATAGGAGGTCGACTTGACTGCAAGCCATTGTGAAGGGTTGGATGGGGTGAGGGAGGAGGCAGGAGCTGGTTCTTGCTGTGGTGGTGGTACATGGCGATGCCATCAGTTGCAGGAAGGGATGTTTTGAGTCAGGACGTTGCTAATTAGGTCTTGAGTTCAGATAACTCGTACATCTGGTGAAAATGGTATGGATGTTTCGGAAACGTGAATGTGGAGCTCCGGATAGACATTGGCCCTAAAAACACAAAGTTGATAACCACAGTTGAGTAAGATAAAAACCATTGCCCCACCTGTTCCAGTTGGTGCCCTCAAATCATTGGAAGGCATCCGGGACAAGGAGATGGCTGGGTACTTTCTCTGGGTTTCTTCTATGAATCCTACTCAGTTACAAACATTCGTGACATCTTGTTGCCTCGATTGAGCCTAGAGAGGGGATGCCCACTCAGAGAAACCTCAGTCAGCCAGAAACTAGAACTAATTCACTCTCATCTTTTAGCTTTGACCTGGCTTCAAGGAGAGATCTTTTCACAAGAGAGCAAAAACTCAGATGTCCTCAGTTGCAGACTATTACCTGAATAGATAACTTCTTCCCTAGCTCTCAGGATAATTTTTAGATTATGCTGCCTGTCAAGTATATAGAATTTTCATTCCGTGCTTTAACTGTAACTCCTAAACCAATGATGGGTCCTCATTCCCTTGTAGATCATTGCCGTGCACCCACATTTCGTGAGATCCAGCTGCAAGCAGTTTGTGACTGGAGGGAAGAAGGTAATCGCTTTGTGCCATTACATAGTGACTTGGGGTGGACGTGGAGGTTCGGTTTGGTTTTTAATTTATCCATAATATTTTTAATGTTTGACTATTCAGAGAAATTTTGAGAAAGACCATGTGGTGAAATTGTAAGACCGTCCTCTTTTGGGGAAGCTGAGACCTCAGTGCTTCTCACCTCATCTGTTTCTTTGGAGTAGATACAGAGCAAGAAAAACAGAGCTGTCACTGGAACTAACATCTAGCGCTTTGAAAGGTCCCTTCCACAAACAAAAAAATAGCATTTAAAAATAACAAAAGAACAATTAAACTCACATTTTTAGCTCTCATTGTAGAAGTCTCTTGCAGGCCTTAATAAAGTTTTGGAACAATTATAGCTTTTTTTACTGACCTATTTCTGGTGTGTTTTCATTATCTTAGTGCTACTTAAAAATTAAGAGAGGAAAGTAATTCTTTTGTACATTTACATGTTTATGTATCGACACAGTAAATTGTAAAATTAAAGAATCTTCCTGCTTATAGGATAAGTCAAGTTAATTCTTTTTTTTATTTTTATTAACCAGTGGTATTTTTAAACCATTTTTATAACAAAAATACTGTTAGTGTACTGGAATGTTGAATATTACTTCATATCCAGTTTGGAACTCAGGGAAAATGAGGTGGTCTGTGGTTATTTCTGTAGCAGTGTATGCCTTTTGGAATGGCTACTCGGAGGTTCAGCTACCAAATGGTTTTTGAATGTTTTATGGTAGTTATCTGTTGCTTTCCTTTGGTTTGCTGCCTCATGGACTGATGGGGCAGGAAAGCATACTGGTCATTACTTCATATTTCTCAAACATTGGTTTTAGCTCATTGTAATGGGAGTCCATTGCAGCTGCTATAGATCCTGATTCTGTTCCACAGCATGAAGACCACATTCCCCCAGCTCTGATTTCTGGTTGGGAGCCAGGTAGCGTCTTCCTTCCTACAGCCCAGCTTATGGTTATCCTTAAGCTGTAGCCTCATCAGCCTCTCTTAAAAATGTCTGTGGGTGGGGGGGG